GGGGGGTGTACGTGACGTCACAGGGCGCAAGCCTCAAGCCTACTCGGAACTCCCTTGGAGCTAGTAGTCTGCACTTGCAATTCACCAAAATTTTTAGGAGGATCCAGCTCTAGAGATGGCATTGTTAAGTTAGGTCAAGACACTCAGCAACACCACAATAGCGTACCCCACAAATGCCAGAGTAGAACCCTGTAATCTGAGGATTTTTTCACCTTTTCTCTCTGTTTAGTCTGTTACTCAGCATGGTGACATTGGCACCTGTTTGAGGGTGACACCCGCTCAAGGTCACCAGATCATCTTGCTCAGGTGACCATGGGGATACCGGATGAGATGGAAGGCCCTCCCCGCAAACGATCTCGCCTGTCGCTGCGTGCGTTGAGAACAAAAGATGTGCCTGAATCTGCACAAGACAGCCACGACGTGGACTTGCTGCAGGATTCTTCTGGCTTCACAGAGCCCACCATGTCGTCAATGCCACCGCAATCGGAGTAAGAAGTGATGACCGCACATGTGGTGTTTGAATTTCGAGACCACAGAAATTACATCTTTCTGATTGGTCATGTGTGTAGAGAGAATTTTTTAATTTTCAAAGCATAGAAGGCTGCCATTATATCATCTAAAAAAGCTGAGAGTGGTTAAAGAAATAATCTTTTACTGACCATTATTATAATCATTGTACTAACTTTGTAATTTTAGCCATGAGAAGCATGTTCTATTCACTCTCATATTTCACGTCCTGATTGATGTAATGTTTAAGGCTCCTGACCTGACTCGCAAAAGACATCATGTTTGATTTCCTCACGAGGAAGGTTTTCTGCTGAAATGCAGTATCCCAAAAGCTTAGTTTGGCCCTGACAGGATGGGTCAAAGCAGCCTGTCGCCTTAATTATCTATTTTGTGTTGATGGGAGCCTAACACATTTATAATCTTTTTTTTACAATATATATTTCTGTATACTAATTTCATGATGTTGTGTATTGCAGGGGGAATGAAACTTCATCTGAAGATCTTCTTCTTGTACCTGATTGCTCTCCTGTATCCAAGGAATGTTTGGTGCCCCCTGTGGCTTCTTTATATAACTTAGGTAGGACCTATTTTTAGAAAATGTTTTTAATCAAAATGTTTTGATTCAACTGTCAAACAAAAGATGGTTTAGTAGAACTGAGATGACAAAAAAAATAAAAAATATATATATATATATGTATATCCGATAATTTTACAGAGGTGAAATGTGTGGAAATTTCTTTTGATTTGAATGTTTAAAAGAGCATTTAACACTTTTAGTTTTAGTACTGTCTGCGACTTTAGTCGCCAGGCCGTAGTATGCGCTCATTAGCATTCGTGACTTTAGTCGCCTACTTGACCAGGCACACTAAACATAATTAAACAACGAACAGAGCCACTGCGCTGAAGTAAATATCAAAGGAAGTCTCTCTATACCTGAATGGTTGATGAACCTCAGTGCTTCTTGGGCTGCAAAGGTTGAAAATTTTTTTAAAACAGTCTACCATGGCTTCAGTGTTTAAAACTGGTACAGTACTTGAAGGTTTTTCCACTATGTGAGCCTTCAGTACTGTAAATGTTTAATTATTTGCCGAGTCAATAATTACAGTCTATTGTTCTTTCTTTAAAAAACAAAACATCGACATGTTGATCAGATTAATGGAAATTATTATGCCTAAAATACTAAATGTTGTGAATGTGACCATAATATGCTTAATACAATAGTTCATCTTCTTCCCCCCCCCCCCCCCTCCACCCCCACCCCCTTCCTCTGCTTCCATTTCTCTGCTTCTGTTCCCCTGAAACCTGCCTCCCCTCTCCTCTGCCTTTCTTACTCAACCTCCTTTCGCCTGCCTCTCTCCCGCCTCCTTTCAATTTTGCTATCTCCCCCTTCCACCTCCTTTCCCTTGCCTTCTTCCCCTTGCCTCCCTTCCCCTCACTCTCTCCCCGCCTCCTTTCTGTCTGTTTTCCTGCCCCCCATCCTTTCCATCCTTGTTGGTGCTACTCCTCTCCTCCTCTACTCGTCGGTGCGTGGTACTTGTAGGAAACACGTGCTTCATGAACTGCATGCTGCAGGTGCTCCGCTACACTCCAGGCTTTGTGCCTGCACTGCGCCAGCTACAGGAGGAGATTGTTTTGGAGGAGATTAGGACAGCCAGCGAGTCAGCTGACCCTGATGATGTGAGTCTTGTCAAATTGTTATCCCTCACCCAAAAGTGTGGTAGAGCTTTTTATTTGCTTTTTCAAACTGTACACATTTTTGGCTTGTTTAACACCGCAACCTGGCAGAGTTTTGAAATCATCTGACCCTAATGATGCGAGTGTTGTCACATTGTTTTCCCTTGCTCAAAAGTGTAGCAGGAAAGCTTTTCATTTGTTTTTACAAACTATAGACATTTTTGGCTCGTACAGTTTAACACCGCCTCCTAGCAGAGTTTTGAAACCAGTTACGAAAGCGAAAATTAAAAACCCAAAACTATATGAAGAAATTCTCGTAGATGAGAATGAACTGTGTAAAAATGTAACGATGAGACAGTATCTTTCCCTTTAACACTTTGCCGTCACATCTCGCCAATTGGCAAGAACGTCGAACTTCCGCTCCCGTTATAAAAGGCTGATCTGTGATGTTTACCCCCCAGTTTCTTTGGATTTCTCCCACAATGCTTGAGATGGCAAGGATTTTTACTATGAGCCTTGTGATGGCAAAATGTTAATGGGTCATGTAAACAACCATCATAAGTTCTCCCTCTCTTTCTTTGCATTGCTTGCTATGTCAAAATTTGTCCAGGTTTTGTTGTCATGGTGGAATACTTTTGATTATAGTTCAGCCTCTTTTGTTTCTCGGCTGAATACTTTTTCAGGGTTCATCGAGGTTTGTTTCTTTTCAGAATGCTTTTTCCGAATTGATCCAGTATTGCTTCATAGCTGAATACTTTTCCAGAATTTGTCCAGTTTTGTTTCTTCGCAGAATACTTTTCCTGATTCATTAAGATTACAGACTGTCGCTTGCAAACAAAATTAAAAACTTTTATTTGGATCTTGATTTGGTGAAGAACAAACAATAGTGAAGGAAGTAAAAAAAATCTAGGGTCAGGATGGAAGTAGGGCATGCCAGCAGCAACCTCTAGTTTACTACATTTGGTGAATGAAATAGATAAACTATGTTTTTTTGAAGTCACACAAAGTTCTCGTCACAAGAAAAATGCTTGACTTTGTTGAAACCGGCTTACCATGGTGAGCAAAAAAAATTGGGAGTCTTTTTATATTTTGTGTGACAGTGACTAAGGTGTATATTTCTTTACAGCTTAAGTGCTTTGTGTTACTGGTAAATCATCTTCATGTAGAGCTCCTGATAAGATATTGCTTGTGTTTACATTTTCCAGATTTCTGAAGCCATTGATGTGGAGCCGAAGGCTGTGTGGCAATTTGTGAAAAATGCTCACCAGGTATGTAGGTGGTCAGGGAAGTTTTTGTCTCTTATTTTTCCTGGTTTGCCTTTGGATTTAAAAGTTGTTATTAACTGAAGTAAAGTTTGCATTGTTAGATAACATGATATATACAGTCAAACCTGCCTTAACGGAAACCTGTATAAAACAGAAACCTGTCTTAACGGAATCTCCCCGCTCCCCCCTTGATATATTCCTCTTTAATTACCTGTATAAAACGGAAAGCTGTCCAATGCGGAAACGCAAAGAAAAATCCGCTCCTTTCCGAGGGTTCCACTTGTCTAAGACGGAAAATGCTTTTCCAGCTCAGCCCTGATTTGAAACAAAACTCGAAAGTTTGGTTCCGCCGGCTCTAAACTTAACGATATGGCCATGCTGCTGGTTGAGAAAGGGGTATAGGGATGCAATTTGGGGGTAGATGTTACCCCATCATGTGAGCCCTGAGCGATGCAGATGGTCAGTGTAGTGTGGGTGTGAAATCTCACGACTGCCCGTGAGAGTGTTCGAGTAGCGAACCACTACGGAAATTTTCCTGGGTCCAGAAGCCAGAGGTGTGAAATTAGACTGACCAATGCCTGCCGCCCTGATCGTACAGCCAGCCAAGAAAAGAGATCCTGGAATCGTTTTTACAATGATGGCAGGGAGGGGTGGCATTGGTGGGTGGGGCTAAGGGTGGAAGCAATGATGTTCAAAAGTTTCTGTTTTTAACAGGTCAAACAGTGGTCCTATGAAAGGCAAGCACTGGTGGTAATTGGATAGGTAAAACTGACGCATGTCATTATCAGACAGGATAGCAATTGAGAGGTGTGAAGTTTTGACCACTGCTTGCTGATCGGACAAGCCATCCTTCATCTGACCGGCTGGGCCTTTGAACCCCCTGTCTCAGACGGAAAATGTCTAAGACGCAAATTTTTTCTGGCTCCCTTGCGATTCCGTCTTACACAGGTTCGACTATATTAGGTTTGCTGACAGTATATGATGATTTTGCAGACAAAGAGGCGACAGATTTATTTGGCTTGTTTGTTTTTTTTGTCAACAAGTTTTCACAGTAATTAGTAATTTTGTAACTGAATGTATAAACAGTTATTTGTAATATTGTGAAGAATGTTTATTTGATAACTTCCCTGAAGTTTGAAAGTTCAAGTAAGCATCTCTCTGCAAAATTGCTAGGGATATGTGAAAGTAAATTATCGTGTGATACAGTCAATAGATCTCTTGGTGGGGAAAAAACTAATCGTGCTTTATTGAATGGTCTTACATAATGTGAAAGGAAGCAAATATGTTTTCAGTAACAGCTCTCATAATGAGTTACAAACATAACTTTTCCTTTTAGCAGATTTGTCTTCCTGTAAACTTCAATTCAATGGACTCCTAAATGCTCACACATCTCTCCCCCCCCCCTCAGCTGTTTGTGGATATGGAATGGACGGAGGACCAGTACACCGATCTGGCCACAGGAGATGGGGTCAGCATGTCTGTGAGACCCACCGCTCTGCTCAGCAGCATACAGTGAGGAGAAATTTCTTGAATTGTGTTCTACAAAATCGTGTCCTCAACAGGATGTATTTGTGGAGATGCTTTACTGGGGGGCTTTGGAAATTACTCTTTTCATATAAATTTCTTCTTCCCACATTTATTGTTAATGTCATAGAGTGTGAACACCATGGTGCAGTTATATGCATTGGGGATGGGGGTAGGGGACTTGAGTGTTGGAACTCAGTCAGTTATGTGGTTCACATCGATTCTCCATAGTATGGCTGAAAGACTTGGGTTTTTTTTTTCTTTCTTTTGTTTGAAGTTGTGAATAAGTTTGTTAAGATTGTTATTTGATAACTGTTACATTTGGAAGTTTGTGGGTGAATATTTCTATTTAATTGGGTTCAGTTGTTGGGTTGAGCTGTCTTTTCCGTTTGTTTCCACTCCTGCATCCACGGAGTTGGTGGTTGGTTCATGCTCTAGTGTGGACTGTGCCCTCCTCTTTTTCTAAGGATTTCTGTCATCCTGATGTTTTGTTAAAAACTTCTTAACGTGATAACTGGTACCCTAGTTATCTTCTTCTTTTCAATGTCATTTTTGTCTTGATCTGTTGCTGCGAAATACAACCCTTGTCAAATGGATGTGTCCTTAAATTACTATTTAAGTCATCTCATATGTTGTTTTGTGTGAGATGTGCTGACAAACTCATTTCTCGCAATCCATAAATGGAAATAGTGGCCAAAAATCGACACTAGGGTAAAATTTGTAGATTTTCTATTGATGCCATATTATTTAAGAGTAACATGCCTTTTATTATTTCTTAGTTATAAATTGTAAAAACTTCACCTATTAGCGTGATGTATCTATTTCCATAGGGCTCGAATTCGAGAAGTAACTCATTTTGTCAGCACGCTTCAAATGTAGTTGGTTAGAGGGTGCCATCGTTAGGTTCTGCTTCTTTACTTTCCCTTTATTGTTTCTTATTGTGTCTATGTCCTACTCTGTCCGTCATCCGAATGACTATTAAATAATGTAAGCTGTGTTTCTGTTTACTCTCTGCATTACAGAAATGTCTTGACATTCACAGCAGATGTGATGACTTATTGTGTCACTGTGCTTCTCTCTTTACTCTAACTAAACTCCACATTTGTTTCAGGTCGTTGAACCCAATGTTTGAGGGTCACTTCCAGCATGATGCCCAGGAACTGCTGCGCTGTCTGCTCTGCTACGTGGAGGATGCTGAGAGGGAGTTACGGCTTATTCGAAGTCGGAGGAAAGAGGAGGAGGAGGAAAAGAAAAAACAGGAGAGTCGGCAGAGTGATGGAGGTGTGGGCAAAACAGCTGACTCTGCGGCTCAGGATGAATCGGAGAAAGACACTCTTCGTTGCGCTAAGACGGGTGTGAGGTCCGAGCTGACTGGGAAGCCTGAAAGGTTGGAGAGTGATGGAGAAACCTTGCGGGGAGGGGACTGCAACGATGGCGCACGAGGGAGGGGGAGGGTGCGAGGGGGTCGGGGTCGGCCTAGGAAGGCGGGGAGTTCATCTTCGCTCATGGCATCCAGTGCTTTCATGGAGACTTTTCTCAGGTGCAAAACTTTGAAGTCTGGCGCAAGTGTAAGTGGGTTACCTGACAGCTCATCCTGTTGTCGTGAAGGTGGCAAGGTGGAGATGGATGCCTGTGATGGGGGTACTGTCGACGGACTGCAACAGAGTGAAGCTGTGAAGTCGTCGATATTGAAATGTGATGAGGTCGTCACGGCAAGTGGCGATTTGAAAGGGGACTCGGCCCATACCTCTGTTGAAGTAGAGAAAAAAAGAGCTACTAAAGGATCTTGCAAAAAGCAGGAAAAATCAGATGCAGGGAAACGAGAGAATTGTGATCTTGAAGTGTCGTCTAAGTCGCGGAAAAGGAAACGGTCGATTTCTCCAGGTTTAAAGTCAGAGAGTACAGTGGTAAGAGGGGATGGTTCCTGTCCAACTTGTGGACTATCTAAGAGTGGGAAGAAGGGTCGTGGTAGGAGGCGCAGCAAGGGAAAGGCCAAAACTGAAGTTTGCAGCTGTGCGAATACCTCCGCCATGGTCAGTGAGGGTGATGACAAAAATGTGCTGGACAGTGCTGGTGCTGATCTTTCTGAAAAACTAGAGAAATGCCCTGGTGATGTCAGGGTAGATGAAAACAGTATCCCCACTGCAGATAAAAGTGAAAGCTTTTTGCAGAAGATTCAGAGGAAATTTCAGTTTCCCTTCTCTTCCACAAAGGGTGAGACATCTACCTCCAGTGGCAGCAGAGGTTTGGTAGGAACAAAGATAGAGTCAGGTTCCTCCCAGCAGCGCAGTATTCTCTCCATGTTCCCTCTCGGTCAGGTCAAGAGACTTGGCATCAGAGGAAGGGCCACAGTACGGGGCTCGGACATTTCAAAAGGAAATATTGAGAGCGTTTCATCGCAGCCTCCATCGTTGTCGGCCGTGAAGGAAGAGCCGAACTGCGGGTCAGAGAGCAGCATTGTGGGAGAAACGTCTAAGTGTTTGTCGTGGAATGCGGATAAATCGTCAGGGCCTCCTATTTCTAATGCAACGAATTGTAGTGATTCTTCATTTTCAACAGTGACAAATGGAGACAGCTCTCAGTGTGAAGCTGGTAGCTCCAGGGTGTCTTCCTCCTCCTCCTCATGTCTCAGGTCACCAAAGTTGACTCCACAGAAGAGTGACGTTGTGCTCCGGTCCTCCATGTGCCTGACGCCAAGGTCACCAATGAGTGTGGCACATTGCGATGAGATCAGCCCCGCCCCTAGGGGCTGTGTCTCATCCGCTGCGTCGCCCATCAGGTCTGGGATTTCACCACCAAGCACTCCGCGTCGTCGGAACCTCACGAAAGAATTCCTGTCATGTTCTCCTACTGCAAAGCGCGAGGAGCAGACTGCATGCTACTCCACGCTAGCTACTTCACCGTTACCAGGAAGTGACATCACTGTGCACTCTCCGAGTAAAATGGGAGGATTGAGAGCGGTTAAAATGGAGTTGGCGAAGGCTAAGGTCTCAAGCAGTGATTCTTCATCTCTTGGGCCATTGACAGTGTCAACAACATTTACAACTCTTCCCACCCGTGTCTCCTGGCCGACACCCCCTACCTCAAGGTCAAGTCGCTACTGCTCCTCGGCACCCAACTCCCCTGATCACATGGCCACGTCCCCGCCCGTTCTGTCCTCAAGTCTGTTTGAAGAAAGACCTCAGCTGACCAGTGCTGTCCATCATAAATCTGGGAAGGCCTCTCAAGGCAGTCTGAAGCTGGAGGTTCGAAAATGTGACTGGTTGGGGGTCAGTCCTGTCAAGTCAATCAGCGCTCAGCGTGCTTTGGCGGTCATGAGATCAGAGTCGCCAAAGAACCTCAAAACCAGACCTCTCAAATGTTCTGCTGTTCGTAAGATTTGCTATGACGAACCTATTCTGCCTTCTGAAACAAATCAGAAAGGGAAACTTACTGATGAGTGCAAAGAGGTCGGTGGTAGCATGCTGAGTGGCCAGAAGTCAGGGAAGTTCAAAACCCTCTCAAAGTCTGTCGAGAAACTGAATCAATCAGGCGCCGTTGTGGCTGTTCCCGAGGCTGTGGACTGCCCCTCCTCTGCAAGCGCTGAACCCTCTGCCGTCCCTACTCTCAAAACCCGCCGCAACAAAAATCCAAAGAAATGTCACAGCGGCAGCAGTACGGATAAAAAGTCCTCTAAGTTGTCCAGTGTGTCTGTTTCTCTACAAAGATGTGATTGGCTTCTGTCTGATGCTAAGAGGGAGACGGCGAGCATGAAGATGTTGCTGAGGGGTAACAAGTGCAAATTGTCACAGGGGAACTCGGGATCTGAGTTATCTGAGTCGAAAGCCAGTCCAAACAGGAGTTGCGGAAACCAAATACAGTCAAAGAATGGTGAGTTTCTCAAGCATAGCATGAAACGATGCTGGTTGTTTTTCTTTTTAATTTTTAGTCTCACCAGTCTGGTTATTAAATGGTGTTATTTGTCATAGTGTCTGCTCCCAATACATTATTATTATTATTATTATGATGATAATATGTTCGCTGAAGTTGTTTATTAATATAACAGGGGGGGGGGGGGTGATAGGCCCAGATTGCAATAGAATAAATATCAAGATTGACAAATGCAGCTGCTCTAAAAATGGTGTAAAAAATCTAATTTAAACACAACGGGGCTATCTGGGAAAATGCTGTTTTGAGAAAATTGAAGGTTAAGTTTTTAGACCCTTGTTCAGTTTCTTTGAAAGAGTTTTCTCTATAACCAAACAAATATACACACCAATGAAACCAAACTTCTCCTATTGGTACGGCAATGCCCACTTTTGGTGCACGTCAAGATTTCTTGAAACCCCCGAAATCAGGGTAAGCCCGCTTGTCCTTAAAAGGGACCATATGTGGTGGGATGATAAGGCTATTTGAGTTTGACTCTCGCGTGAGGTAGTTATTTTCATCAAGTATTTCTGTCCATCTGGTTGGATGCTGTATCTCACTCTGCCTGTATTGGCCCCGGACAGACAGGATTGAAACAGCCTGGCCGCTAAATGATCTCCCAAATGTGTATAGAACTTGTACAATCAAATCAATCCACCTCATTTAGACATATCTTCTCTTGTCAGATCTGTTGTCGTCATCATCATCATTGTTGTCGTCATCCGTGACAGTCGCGGAACAGCTGTTTGCCGGCTCCATGGTCCACTGTACGCGATGTTTGGACTGTGAGAACACCAGCGACAGGCAGGAGGCCTTCATGGACATCAGTGTACCGGTTAGGGGAGACAACCCAGGTGATGATGACAGCGATGACGAAGACAATGGAGGGAAGACAGAAAATGGTAAGGAAGGTTTGTAGATTTTGGTGAACATTTCTTGCCTCGCTCACCTTCTCCTTTGTGGACCACTCACATTTCCTGCTCGCCGCTTTTTTGTTCTTTTTTTGTTTTTGTCAGTGTTTGGTTTTCTTCCTGTCCCTCGATCTTGTTTATCTGTAGAGGTGGTTTGGGGTTGTCACTTGTGGGCTCCTTTTCCTTTTAAGTTCTTTTGTTGTGTTTGTCTGTAGAGGAGGGGGATGTGCTTTGTTGACTCCTCTTGTGAATTAAAATCTTTCGAGCTTGTCTCCATATACGTGACGTCGCGTTGCGCGTGGTCCTTGCCACTCTAAAATTAATCAAATAAGATTATAAAGAAACAGTATCCTTACACCCGATGCGACATCAAGTCGCACGTGACCGTCACCTGTTATCAGTCCATGTAGCGATCGACAGACTTGAGGTGTGACAGTTTTAGAGCAGCACCATTGGTCAAAATACCTAGCCAAGGAGTGCCGGTCCATACACCGTGTGTGGTGTGGTGTGTGTGCGTGCGTGTGTGCGTGAGTGTGTTCATCGTCAATTCGACTCAATGCAATTTTTGTGAATCTAATTTTGTTGTTTTGTTTTTCTTAAACGGGCAGGAGGAAGAGGAGGAGGAGGAGGAGGAGGAGGAGAAAGAGTAGGAGGAGGATGACAGGACTTACACAGGATTGACCATGTACAGAATAAAAATGTCAGTGCTCGTAGAACTCCCATCTGATGGACTTTATACTTCTTTGTCCGTTTTGACATTAAAATTTGCCACTGTCTCTCTTCTATGAATTGCTAGTTGCGCATAAGGAGACAGATTTTTTGCAAGTGGCTGAAAATTTTGGCGCGATGTGGTTGCTTATATAAGGGTACACACCTCGCGACTCATCACTAGCGACTGTCGTACGCTACTGTACGTCACGTCATGCATAAGGAGACATAGGCTCATAAGGGTATTTGGAGGGTGCATCTTGCCTGTTCCAGTTTCTCTTTGTTATGTAAAAACCTCTTGTTCCCTCCCATCATCCAGCACCTGTATATCATGACAAGTCCCATCTGCTTGTCTTGGTCATTATTTCATTTTCTGTGTGTATGGTTAGAGGGCCGTGTAAGCAGGCCTCCTCTGCTTTTCTTTCTGTCTCTATTGCAGGGCTGCCTAAATCTACCGATTTTTCTGGTAGATACGGATTTTGGGCCTGTTCTACCGCCATACCGATAAGGTGTCAAAACTACCGGATTTGCGATGGATGCCGAAAGAATAAAAATAAAAAAATTATTCAGTGCTTCCTTTCTTCTTTGTGTTTATGGAAATCCGTACATTCCGAAAGTTCCGTACTTGCCGCACCATCATATCATGCGTTAAAAGAATGTGAGAAAGAGAGAGAGAGAGAGAGAGAGAGATTAGCACTTGCCTCCGTAACTTGTCAGATATTAACGGCAACTCTCGGCAATAAGTTGTATTAGAAACTGCCAGATTGCGCATTTCGAACACTCGACCATTGTCTATCTGTGCCGTTCGGTCGGCAATAGTTTTTCACGTGCATATCGGCAAAAATCTGTCTACTCACGGTAGATAATCTTCCTCTTTCTTTTCACTCATTCTTTCTTTCTGTCTGTCTTCAGGTTTTTGCTGCGGCTGGGAAATCTGTGCATTTAATTCATTTGTCTAGAAAACAGAATTGTGAATGTAGAAAGAAAATCTGTATCGAACATTCTAAAATCTGTCTTGGTCTAGAGAATTGGTCAGTACCAAATGAGGATTCTACGCAGGGGGACTGCGGGAATTTACTACCCGGGAATCTGAAGAAAAATAAAAAATCGCTGAGACCCGAGAAAATGTCCTCGAAACAAAATCTGAAAAGGCTACTGAGTTCATAATTTACAGGTCGCGTTTGTGATATTACGTTCGACTTTACCCAGTTTGAGAGTACGTTTCACGCGAATAAGCGGCTATGGCGGCAGGCGGAAGTGTAGATGTAATACTGTGACTCCATCGGGAAAATAAAAATCTACTTTCGCTTTCATTACCGCTCAGAATAGTCCAATGATAGTTTGTTAACGTTAGATTTACAGTTAATAAAAAATTGCAACATGCAGTTTGTGCATGAAAAACACAATGTCGCCATACAAATTAAATCAATGTTCTCACTGATGTCACTATAATGACAAAAAAAAAAGGGAAGAAAAAGAAAACAAGCTTCCTCCGATTTCTACATTGTTGCGCCCGTCATCGTGACCAGTCAGTAAACCTGTGAGAGTTCGTGAGAACGGCATGAGTAAGGGACCGGCTGGTGGTTGTTGGGGAAAGCCTAATCAAAGTCCATTCAAAGTAGGAGCATTGCAGGGCTTCGTAATTGAGGGGAGTGTTTGATGCAATAAAGTCTACGGCAGCAGGAAATGGCCGCAGTGCAAGAAACTGATGCTAAAATAAAAACGATAAGTGGAAGTGGTTTTGACATTCGACTATCGAGTGCGTAAATGAGGGAACATTAGAGCACAGGCTTGATGATTGTATCTTCAAAGTTGGTGTTCCCGGGTTTGTCCGATTTTTTCAATGGAAAGCTCTATGTTGGATGCTTATGCATCATGATGGCTTGTTGCTGATTAAAAACTGGTACTGTGATTTAGCATTTCGAAAAAAATCAATAGATCTACTTAACTTAGTCCATGATGCAAAGATTCACTGATTGCTAGGTTTTCAGCATCACTACATCCCACGCTCTCACAGTCCTTCCCGCAGCGGCTCTCAGTACACAATCTCTTTTATTTTCACTTTTTGCTCTGCGGTAAGCCTAACTGTAAAGGTTTTATAAATAAGTTTTGTCTTGCATGCTTTTTAAAATCTGTGATTGCTGAAACCAAACTTGGTTTTGGCAGTTGATGTTCTTCTTGCCTCTCCTCGGGCCCAGATCAGGATTCATTTTGTATTTTTAGGGTAAAACTAGTTAAAATTGTCATATACCTAAGTCACAAAGGGCTTATCAGTGTTCTATGCTTGTGTCGGAAAATATGTTTTAATATAGTTTCTATTGGTATGGGCTAGGGGTTTTGAAGTCAGTTTGGCAATCACCCTGCACTCAATTCCAGATTCAATACTGAATGATAAGTGCCATGAATGATAGTCCATAAATGATTGAAAAAAAACACCAAAAAAAACCTCGCCTCATTTCATACACACTGTTCATCTTAACTTGTGCACACCCAAACACCCCCTTCCCCTCCCCACATATATAAACGTGCGTGAGAGCATGCACACGTGAACACACACAGATGTACATACACAAACAAGTTTTCACAATATAAATACACAATATAACAGGAAAACAAGCGCGTTCGATGGGGCAACGATCATCTTTTTTTTTTTTCTTCTTTGTCTTTGTACTACCTGATTTTGGGCCAAACTACCTGAAACTGACCCTGAATCTACCTGAAATGGGAACTTTGAGGTAGGCAGCCCTGCTGTTGTTTCACTCTGAGTGTTTTGCTTTTCTCCAACACCAAATAACGGTGGGTGGGTGGTTAGCATATACTCCTTCCTTGCTATCAGACATGTGTTTATCTTTCTTCTTTTTTTTTAGAGTATATTATTCTCCTGTAACATAGGTGATCTCTAATTTTTTACGCTTATATGACTTAATTTTTTTTGCAAGTGCCATAAACGCTTACTAAACAAAACAAAACAACGGTTTAAGTGTCAATGCTGTTCTCTTTACTCAAATAGATTAAAATAATTCTCTTTCTTTTATGTCTGTGTCGTGTCCCCCGATCCCAAATCAGAAAACTCGTCGACGTCCGTGTCATGTTTGTCACGGCTAGTCCAAGCTTTCTCCAGCGTGGAGCGACTGCGGGACAGCAACAAGTACTGGTGTGAGACTTGCGCCCACTACACAGAGGCAGAGCGCTCTAGCCGCTACACCACCCTGCCCGCTGTGCTCACCCTGCAGCTCAAGAGGTTCAGCGCAAACTCAGGGTAAGTTTTGTAATTTAGGGCAGAGTGGACATGGAAATCCCTCGCCCAAACTCAGGCGCTTGCAAACAAACCCTGAAAAGTGGAGGCACCTGATGAGGCTCTGTCATACAGCGCCCCTACTATCCTCATGGATTATCATTAGGAGATCAGTGACAGTAACAGTTTCTGTAAGAGTTTTATTGCACTTCAAAACAATAAGGTCATGTAAGTGCCGAAGATTACACGAAAGCAACAAACAAAAAAGAAGGAGTAGGGATGGAGACGAAAGATGTCTGATAGGAATAAAGGAGCAGACCACACCAGAGCACCTGCCATCTACTAACAGGGTGAGTTTCATTACTGAGGTCTCAGAGTTGAGAAAAAGACTAAATGTTTGCACCCTCAGGCGCACAATTTTGGTCTTTTCGGAGGTCAACTGTTTTGAACTCGTTTGTCCGAATTGAGGTTGAGGAGTGAATTCAGAAGAAACTATAATAAATGTTTTCCTACTTCATCGACCCAATTTAGATCATGTAGGAGGCGGGCTGCTTTTACCCTGCCTGCCATTCAGTCAGGGCCAAGCTGGCTCAGGATGTCAGACGTGTAAGTGTTCTCGCAAATTCCGGCAATTTTGACTCGGACTCATATTTTTCCGCCCGGCCGGCCGATTTCCGGCCAATTTCCGGCCAATTGTCTCTGGCCAGGAAAAATTTTCAGGATAGTAAATTTCGCCACCACATGAGTAGATCATCGTGGCGCTGGTGTGCTGTCTTGCGCAGTTACGATCCTTGTGAGTGCTCTTTCAAAGATGAGCTCTTCTTTCTGCTGGAAAAGTTTTTAAAAATTATGAGAAGCTAGAATGAAGATCTAATGCTGTTTCACAGTTTGACTTTTGTTTCTGCCGGGGAAAAATTGTTTGATTAGAACAAGACTAGATGTAGATCTATTTGTGTGTTTCATTGTAACTGAGTCAGTGATTGATGTGGTGACTTTACGAGTGCGGAACTGGAGCTAGATCAAGGTTCTTTGTCCCGAAGAGATGCCTCACAATCCTGATGCTCGTAGATCTCAATATCTGAGTAGGCCAAAGTAATACCCAGTTGATTTACTGTCTGTTTTCAATAGACTATATATATATATATTCTCTTTGGTATGATATTTTACTTTTTAAAGCTGAAAATGCCTCCAAATGGCTGTTTAGAAGCCTTAATTTTTCAAAATTTTACTGAGGCCTTGCGCCTGTGGCTACGCCCTTTCAGATTTTCAGGCAATTTTTTTTAGGGCCGCTTACACGTCTGAGGATGTGTAAAGTACCATTACATCCCCACGGGAAGGGACAGGTTTTTGTAAAATATTGTGTCCTATCAAGGAGCAGAATCATTACATCGCTATCATCAACGAGATTGAACTGAAACTAAAAATAAGAAAGATTATGGCTCTGCTGTCTGCTTCAAGTTAGGGTGTTTGTGATCGTTACAAGATGCTTGCTATAATTTTCCTTTATTTCTCACTCTTTGCTATGCTAGCTGTTTGAGGTTTGTGTTTTCGTTGCACTCCTGAAATAACTAAAAAATGTTTCATTGGTCCGTAAGTGTTAAATACCTGCTTTATTTCTCAGTGCAGATGATTGGAGGAGTGCTTAATGTGATTTGCCTCTTCTGGTTTTATTTAGTGTTACTGTTGTCTCAAACGTTTTCTGTCGAATATGGCCATTGTCATGCCCACTCTCATCAATCCATGATTTTTTCCACTGTTCTGTTAATTTCGAACGGTTTTTAGATGTGTAGTTTTCACTCACACAGTGCTGTGTGTTACGTATGAAATGTCAGATCTGTACATAAAATCACATTATTTGAGAGACATGTATACCATACTTTTGAGTAGGGGTATGCACTGTATAAAGTATAAATGCAATGTTATTAATTTCTTACTTGCTATTATAGTTAATATTTTTAAAATTATTATTATAATATGCTTGTCATTGTGTTATTATGATTGTTTTTAAGAAATATCATATTATATTCATCTTCATTATATAATATTTTATTTTCCTTAACCTTCTGCTACTCCATCAAATCCCACAGCCTGTTTGGGGGCGTGTCCAAACTGAATGACCGAGTGGGCATCCCGCAGATCTTGCCCTGTCTCCACCATAACTGCCAGGAGAACTGCTCTCAGCCAGCCCATCAGTGAGTCCTTGGTTTTGCTCTTTCTATCTCCTCATGCTCTGTTCTTCACTTTTCATGATAAATTACTCATGTGTCCTCTGGTGTCAGAGGTAACATTAGCAAGAAAATGGCTGCAAAAGTTTGGCGACTTCCAGCCTTTGAGTGTCACTGAAAAACTGTTTAAAAAAATTTGGTACCTTTGATCCATGTTTTTCAGTAATATGCACACAAAAATTATGTGTTTTTAAATACATGTGACAGGTGTTGAGCCAAAAAAAAAGAAAATTCGAAAAAAATTGCCCAATGGCCAGTTTCTTTGATTTCATTATTTTGACGAGTGCCTGATTTCACCACGATGCCTTACAAATGATGCCTTACAAATAGCATTTGTAAAGCACATACCGCTCCACAGCAAGCTCTATGCACAGATGACAACAGTAGCCCTGTGTTTGTGGAATGCGAATGGTAGTATAATAGAAATTTTCCAAGGTAGCCTCCCATTGTCAAAGAAAAAGTGGTTGTCTTAGACAGGTGGCCGTCTTGGACAGTGTGACTATAAATCGTTTTATGATATAAAAAGTGTAAGGGGGAAAGTGGTCATTTGTACTGGTGATTGTCTTGGACAGGTGACCATTAGAGCAGTTTTGGCTCTACGTGTTTTACACCCTCAATGATATCATTTGAATCTTTGAGGAGGCAGGCTGCTTGAGCTCTGACTGTCAGAGTGAAAATGGCCCTATTTTTCTTTCCTGCTGTTGCTTTGGTCTGTCTGTATTGCTTTTTTCCAGCACTTACTGACCATTATTGTGTCGATTTAATTCTCTTTACTCAAACTCAAATGCAACGTGTGTGTTAAGGATTTGCTTTCAATTTTCTTGTAGATGTCTCCAAATGGTTGGTTTAAAGGTGCCTCTTGTTGGTCCTTCTTCTTTACTTTCTTTAGGTTGTTTCAAAAAAAATTATTTTGTTTTGGTTTCACCTTTTCCTTGCATTTAATAACCATAATTGTTATTACCTTTTCCTTGCAATTAATAACCATTATTGTGTCAATGCATTCTGTCTTTACTCGAAAACAAGTTTCCAAGGGTTTGTTGTGTTTAGTGTCATTTTTTTAAAGGAATTTTCAGGACCACTCAATGAAAAATGAAACTGCAGTGACACACATCACAAGGGGATGATGGCTTGATGAAAAAATTTTAGAACTGTGATAGTGATAGAGGTTTTTTTTAATTGAAAATTTTATTTTATGTTTTATTAGAGGAAGGTTGACATTAACAAGCAAATTAAAAAATCATGACTTTGAATTTTTTTCACCAAATCCTGATCTCTGCGTTACATGTGTCATTAGTTTCATTTTTCATGGCCCTAATTAAAGTGAATTTCTGCTCTCATAAGCAAATGAAAACCCGTTTCCTTGTTCTTCCCATTGCAGATATTCTCTGTTTGCCGTAGTGACCCACTCAGGACTGAGCATTCTGCATGGTCACTACCGTGCCTATGTACGCGTGCAGCCCGGTGTTAGTCCTCGTGTTCTCCGTGGCCTACACAGGGCGACGGTCAAGGAGGAAAGTGAAACAAAGGATGTGTTCAGCGAGGAGAAAGTTGAAACCCATCGTTTTTCACGTGAGAAGATTTCACAACATGCAGACTGGCTGTGTAGTCAAAATGATAGCGTTTCATTGGTAGTTGAAGATGACTCGAGTCAGTCCAATCGTCGACGCAGTCTTACTAAATCATCGGGTGATGATGATGATGGCTCGCTGAGTGGGGGGGACATGTCGTGTTTGTGGCTTGAGTGTGATGACGAATGTGTGCGGGTGTTGGAGGAGGATGAGTTTGAGTCTCGGTTGAACGAGACAGACGGTGCTCTTATGGGAACGCCATATGTCTTATTCTACCATAAACTTGTCACTGTTTGATGGCTGTATGTGTGTCTGGATTGGATTTTTGATAAGTGTAAATCTTGTTTGAACCCGTTAGAAGACACACAGAAGGGTTTACAGCACTTGTTTTGTTTTACTGTAAACTTTTCAGTGTTTTAACCCTATGATGATCTAAATTGTGTCAGTGAGGGTGTAAAAAACACCTACATTTTTTAAAATGTAACCGTTTAAACCCCAAGTCTACTGAAGTGCATTTTCCTGTACTCCTCTGTGTCAACTACTGGATTCACTTCCAACAGGCGGACGATTGGAGGGCGACTTTCCCTCTCTTGTTTCTGTCTGTTCATCTTACTCTTTCCCAGCACTAAATGACCATTATTGTGTCGATATGCTTCTCTTTACGCAAATGAACAAACTTCCACCAGCTCATGCTGAGGTGTCATTCAGCGGGTGAGAGGGGAAAGAGCTATATATGTTGAACACCCTTGAAGGTCTTGAGTATGTAAAGGCTTGTCATTTGTGAGTCTTTCCTGTCTTTTTTCACCGTCTGGGGGTCGTGGTGAGTCGTCACAATGGCTGATATTCTACTCATTTCCCCCTCTTCAGCTCTTGATTCTGATGTGATGTGATTCATAAGTTTTTGCTGTCCTCCTTTTCTATTAATGCGGTACCGGTGTCTTTAGTTTTAGTAAGTGTTCAACGGCACGTTCAGCGCGCAAGTACCGTTGGGTCTGGTCTAATGGTTAAACTTTTGGCTGCTGCAAGCAGATTATGTGAGTTCGATTCCCGAGTGGGGAAGTTATTTTATCCAGTGTCTCCGACTGTCTGTCGGGATGCTGTGTCCTACTGAGCTGGGGTTGGACCTGACAGGGGGGGTTGAAGTATCCTGCCTCATGAATGATCTTAACCCTTTCACTGCTGGGCTTGCTTCACAATTGTATCAAAGAGTTGAAAACAATCTCGGGCCAGGCTTTAAGGGGTTAATTGGTGCTTGTCAACCTTCTTATAGGCAGTACCCACTTTTGCCACCTTTAAAAGAGGCAAAAATTTTCCTACCACCCACCATCATGTATTTCCAATCCGGCCATTAAATACTACCTGTCATTGCCAGGGTGATCCCCAGTTTGGACTAAAATGACCAAATTGCCCACTAGTGGGTTCTACCGCCCTGGTTAACAAGCACTGATCTAAATCATGGCAATGTGGGTGTAGAACATTTACTGTCAATCAAAACTGCTGTTTATCAAATAAAAGTCCTTATTTAAGATTTTTATTTGATGTTTTATAACCGCTTATTGTGATTCCCAAGATGCTCAAAGGAGTAAAAGCGTGTAGCTGTTGATCGATGTTTCACATGTTCTTGTTGAAATAATTTTGATGATGTTTTGTGCTTAGGTCTACATAAGCGAGTCTCAGAGCGAGAAATACTTCTTGCGTCGATGAACATGAGCTGTTCATTTGACAGGATGCGCGTCAGTGGATTTTCTATGTTTCTACATTTTTGCCGTTGACCCATGACACTCACAACAGTGAAATTTTACTGAACTTGTTGTAAACGCGTTTTTGAAAATAAAATCCAGTAAGAATCCAAGTTTTCTTTTCCAACTAAATTCTCCTTTGTTTTACTATCAGTGATAGATACTGACCCACTTTTTTCTTTGTCTGTGCACTGGGGTCAGTTTCTTTATACCAGGGTCTGTCTTTGTTGTCCAAATACTAGTTTACCAGAGACCCCTTGAGCATCAGCAGGGGTTGGACAGATTTTTGTTTCGACAGAAAATTGCATGGTTTATTTAGAATCATCCAAATTGTGCTTTACCCGGTTACACTGAAGACTTATTATTTATACTGTGGAGTCCGCTTAAACTGAACATGATTAATATCTGATAACAGCTGTATACCGAAAGAAAACAGGATGGCCGTTTTTTTTCTTCTAAGAAAACTATCAATTAGCTGAAATGCTCCTATTTCTAAACTGAATAGAATTTTGAGGAGTATGTCTTCTAAATCTTCAACAGCAACTCCCCAAGTAACGCAGATCATCAAGTCTTATGCATTTCAAGATATTAAAAAGTAAGAGACACAAGAGCGCTTGTGTGTTGATTGCAGACCAAAGAGAGACATCGCCAGGGTACTGTTTGCCTGTGCTTTTCATCACACATATTAACAGCGAATGTACCTGTATAGGCCTTGTAAGATCTTTGATAAGTCGGGGCCTATTGCGATTATGAAGCTAGTTCATGCTCACCTAACACATGAACATATAATAGCACGTGGTGTGTTTTACGACATCACCAGCTTTGGGATTTTCCACTTCATACATCTCTAGCCTAGTGCCGAGAACTACTCTGTACAGAGTGCTGATCTACTCTTGTCTGTTCTGTGTGACTGTTCTGCAGATTAAGCCAGCTGAAAATGGCGGATCAGAAAGCACATTTAGTACAGTCTGCAGCTCAAATTGCAGTCGCTGAAAAAGTAGATGTGAAAAACACTTCCATAAAGTGAAGTTTGCTGCAAGCATGGCACTCCCATCTCTGCACTGTTGACAATCATCGGTATTTGAGCAATCTCTCTAAACTGAAAACCCGGCAAAAATGAAGAAACTCCGGTGATCCTGCAGATTTTAGTCTTAAGCGGACTCCATTGTACTTATAAACAAAATTTATATTTCGTAAAGTTGGCATTATCCAAGACAGTCACCCATTGTCGAGGAGAAAAGTGGTTGTCTGAAACAGGTGGATGTCTTGGACAATGTCATTATAATATATTAAAAAAAAACATTGGGGAAATGGGAATTGGTTGTTTGTACAGGTGATTGTCTTGAACAGGTGGCCATAAGAGCAGCTTTGACGGTATCCTTCTTTTTGGCAGCGTATTATTTTTTTTTTTAACATATCAAGTTAGTTTGATAACATTTCTACTGTTTACTTGTAAGTTCTTGAGTTTCAGACTTGCTAATCTAGAGTTATGATATCATGGTCCACAGTGTTACGTGCGATTATGTTACATGACGTTTGTTTTTGGTGAACAAGATGGCTTTTTCGAGAAGACAGAAGATTGCTTCGTTGTTGCAGTTGTGGCAAAGAAGTAGAAAGAGATTTAGAAGCATGTCTGTGCACCCAATCAATTTGAGAATATTATCTCGCAGTGAATATCATCACTCAGTGCCCCAACTGTGAGAGGACTTTGAAAGATTTGAAAACTATTTCAGACTGAATTATTGGAGCAGTGTTTTGAAGACAATCATGTCCCTATTACAAAGATTCATGTCACTTTTGTCGAAGATTGGCTGTCATGCTTGAACCGCAACAGTCAGACCCTCATTATTTAAGAAGGCAGCCATGATCTCCATCTCTAAGAACAGTTGTTAGAAGTGGACAGTCTATCTTGATCTAGAATTTACTAGTAAATAATGATTTTTAAAAATGAAACAGGCGCTTTCTCACGACATCAGTTTTGTTGTTTTTGGTTATTTTTTAAGCGTCAGGTTTCCAGTCTTTTTTTTGTCCTGTACTTTGTAGCTTCTTCCTTTTAAAGAATTTAATTATTTCTCTGACAATAAAAAAACTCTTTGAATTTGCATATTTGTGAGATTTCATGGACGGATATTAGATTTTGATACACTGATTTTAAAAATGGCTTTGAAAATGCTCTATGATGTACATTTTGATTCATGTATGATAAAAAAATTTTAATGGGACCCGGCCTGCCAGTTTTTTTTATAAGATCGTCTTCAAAGACGCCACATTGGCTCATCTGATGTCACTCATCCTCACACTTTCAAGGCAGAAAAAAATTAAGCAAGCAATTTTTTCAACATGTCCGTGAGCCCTGCAAGGACAGTTCCATCATCATCAATGCTATCTGCTATGCCTTCTCTTATATATTGTTATATTTATATAGTACCAATAGCAGTCAACTCTGCCGTTTTATGACTAAAACGTACATATGCTAACTTTTTTTGTGTGTTTCAACTTAACTAAAATTTAGTCGGATCTGATTATTTTATGTCAGTATTCATTGGCCAGTGTAACTTTTGTCTGATTTGCTGAGGCATACTGTAAATAGTTAAGGAGTAATTGATTAAAATTTCTTTTGTCATAACAATATCGATATCTAATTTGGTCACAATGCATATTTTCAAAAGCCCAAAGCTTCCTTAATTTTAATTGTACAGCCATAAAACCAAGATATAAAGACGCACCATGAAAAGTGGTTTCTCCCCTGCATAAAGATGCTACTTGACCTAATTGCCCATACGTTTTTTGTCATAAAATGGCAGAACTCATGTTTTATTTTAGGTATGGCAAAAGTGCATTGCGACTATCTTCCACTATATTTGAGCCCTTACTTATAGTGAGGTGTAAGAGACTAGCAATGCCCAGCTCTAGGTCAGAGAGCTTCTAATGTCTGTGATGCTGCTTGGAAAAGTGGATGCCAATTTTGGTTTTGCTAACACTTTTGGAAGGTTCTCGATTTGAGAAGCAGTTGTCCCTGATGGCACCATTTCTCTATTTTCTGCTCTGTAGGATTTTTTCTTTTCTCAGATTTCATGTTAGCAAGTTTTTAAACTCTTCTAAGCCCAGAAAGCAACTTTTTTTCAGGAGAGTGAAAAAATTGTTCAATTTTTAAAAAACTTGTAGGCCTACCTCTATATTGTGTATCTTTTCTGGCTTTTATCAACGTGTAGAAATTTAATTTCAAGAAATATTTCATAATTAAGCACATGTAACTGGTATCACTGATTGAGAACACTGCAATTTTTAAAAAAAATGTTTTTTTATATTTTGTCGATGATTCTTTAGTCACTCCTGGTTGTTTTTTTTAATGTTTCTAATATTTTGCAAAATTGTTGGGTGCTACAAAAGTTAAAGAGTCTGTTTATAGTCATGTATGCCTGTAAAGCCTGATTCGACTTTAAAGTAAATTGCGTGCCCGGCCTGTTCTTTTCAGATAACCATTTGAATACACAAAGTGTTGTAGCCAGCAAGCTATATATGGCTAGCCATGTGATTCAACCACCTAAGTGACCAAATTTTGGAAAATCACTTTTTGATCCCATTTGATACACTTTATGTTAAAATCCCGAGTTTGAAAGGTTACTGCAAAGTGTTTCAATCCTTCAGTTAATCAATCGCCTATATCACACCAGTCCCCAATTTCAGCGTGATTCAACCGCCCAAGTGCCAGTTTTGCAGCCTGGTGGCGAATGGGCAGTTAAATCGAACCCTATTGATATCCAGAATATTTTGTCAAGGCAGTTTGCGTAATCTATCACTAGGTTTGGTAGTGTAGTTGAGAAAGGGCAAGATAGCATCAAAGAATATTATGTTGATACTGACTCGACCAAGTTGATAAATTGTGGCAAAAACTACTGTCAAATGATTTTTTAATAAGTCTATGATTAACAGCTAATGGGCGCTTAATTCACATTTGGTACAACTATTGGAAAATGTGTGCTCATGGATAATTTTGAATGTTTTTTAAGACACCCCCCCCCCCCCCCCCCCCCCCCCCCCCCCATGTTCGATTTCTGGACAATTTTGACCTGGCTGATATAAAAAAGACCCCATTGTCACAAATGTTCGTTGTCTTTGATACGCATCCAGTACAAATTGAACGTTAAGATAAATGATCTTTTTTACCAACTCCATGAGGCCAAAAACAGTCCTGCCCCAGAGTACTCAACCAAATAACTGAAATAATTACTCTTAACTGAATAACTACTCTTAAAACTATTATGATTTGCTTTTGTCGATTACTCAAAAGCCCAAGCGACCATTGGCGCTCGTTGAGTGGCATTGATTAACGTGATTCAAACGCCTAGTTGCTGTCATACTGTCACTTAGACGGTCGAATCACACAGATTTTGGTGGGGGCTCTCGAGGCCTAGAGGTTAAGGTGTTGGCCTCTCATTCAAAGGTTCTCTAAAATTGTCTCCTTTCACCTCCTTTCCTGCTCTCTAGCAATATTCTGTCGTCTGCTTTCGTCTCCTCTTTCTGCCCCCACCCCCTCACCCCATTTGCCCTCTCCTCTGGGCTCCTGACTCTTTCTGCAGCCTTTCTACTGCTACTCCTTGACTCATTCTTACAGCTGTCTTTCTGCCACACCCCTGATCTTCAGGTAGGAAAGATCTACACCTAGCCTTCTCGGACAAGGGCAAAAAATCTCGGAGGGCCCGTGTGCAAGTTGCGCATGTTAAAGATCCCTTGGTGGTCTAAAATCGATAAGAGTAGGCTTCGGCCGCCACCCGGGCAAAATTAAATTTCCTACCATACTAAAAGTATTAGGTGTGTCCAGCGCGCTCATATGACCTTATGCAGTTGCGAGCGCCGTAAAAACACTTACCAAAAAACACTTACCAAAAAACAAAAAAACCCTAACAGATTTTGGAAGCCCTAAATCGCTCATGTCCGGTAACTTGTGTAAGAAAGCCTTTTTAAAGAAAAGTTAGTAACAGACTATGGTCCTGCATCATATTAAATTATATCATGTGTCTGAATTTCAGATTCATAGGTACAAGCATAAAGAAATAAAACAGTTTTTTGCTTCCCCTGAAAAATTTTTATCTTTGCTCTTAGACGATTGAAGTTGAATCACGCGGCTAGCGATATGCATTTTGTATAATATCGCTCGTCAGGTTTTTAAAAATGTTTATTTCTGGCAATATAGTTGAATATTAAAATAGTTGAAGTCGCAGCCAGTTGGATGTGCAGGGTGTTAGAAATTGTGCAATTTTATTCTGTTTTTGTGTCAGTGAAAAAATTATACAATGTACATACACATGAATGTATTGTTGAACCTGCCCAAGCCAACCCCCTTTGTCGAGGAGAAAAACTATCTTCCTTGACCGGAGGTCTTCTCTTCTTGGGCAATGTCATTATAATTATAATTATTATATGTACAAAGAGAGAGGAAAAAAAACAAACCCCAGGAGCAGAGTGGGAAGTGGGCATTTGTAAATTGTACAGGTGACTGTCTGGGACAGGTGGTTGTTGGAGCAGGTTCGACTATTTTTTTCCTGTTTTGCATGGGATTGTACTGTTGTCAGATCTATTTACTGTCAAATTGTACAATAATCACGTTACCTCTGACATTTTAAGTTGTTTTCTTTTTGTAATTAGAAAGAGAAGTTTTTCTGATGTATCTCTGAACATTGTTGTGTTAGATAATAAAAACAGCATCTGAGTCTGTGACTGTGTCTCTGTCTTATTTATGTGTTATTTTTAGCCACACCTTTGATCTTGTGCTGTTGAAGCTAGAGAGGTGAGCAGAGAAGTCTGATTCCCTTTAAGGACTCCTCTGTTCACATCCACCCCTTGGCGCTCATATGACCTTATGCAGTTACGAGCGCCGTAAAACCTCTACTAAAAAAACACCCTTGATCTTTTGGTAGGTAATACACCTAGCTTCCTCGGGTCGGTAAGGGCAAAAAATGTCGGAGGTCCCGTTTGCAAGTTGCGCCTGTTAAAAATCCCTTGGTGGTCCAAAATCGATAAAGCAGGCTTTTGCTGCCACCCTGGCAAACTTCAAAATTTCCTACTGAATGAAAATGTTTAATGTTTCCTGCACGCTCATTTTCCTCATATGACTATGACCTTATGCAGTTGCGAGTGCCGTAAAACACTTACCTTACAAAAAAAAGAAGAAAGCTATTACTATTATGTGCACTTTTCTCGAAATGACTCCAAAGGGATCTAGACTCTCCCCCCCCCCGCCCCCCTTTGTTCAATTTAAAAATGATGTAATTATTAAATGATTGCATCTATACTATATGATGGCATCTATCCACGCTTTACAGCAGCATACTCTCTGCGCTTTACAACTATTATTACCCCAGCAGACCCTAGAACACTCAGAAATATTCTCGGCTTCCCGAGAACCATACAGTGCAAGCTGCGGGTTTCCTGTGCTCAAACTCTTACAAACCGTCACTGTCTATAGCCAGGTACTTTTTTCCACCTGTGTGGAGTGAGGAAAATTCATCTAAAAAAGTGTCTTTCCCAAGGACACAGCGTCGGGCCCCTGAAGGGATTTAAACCCACGACCTTACGGTTGCGAGTTCGAGAGCCTAATCACAAGGCCACCGAACACCGCGACCACCACAACACCCCCCACCCCCCGCCCCCCGCCGAAAAAAAAAGTACATATATAGTTCAATATTTCTCCATTTAGCAACCGCTGTGACAATTAAAATACAATGTGTTGATAGTGCCATAAAAACCTGCTCAGTCATTCAATCAATCAGTCAGTCGATTAGGAACTTTACAATCACGTCAATGTTCAAGGTTTGAATCTTGTTACCAAAAAACAACAAAATCTTTGCGCGCGCGCACACACACACACACACTCTCTCTCTCTCTCTCTCTCTCTCTCTCTCTCTCTCTCTCTCTCTCTCTCTCTCACACACACACACACACACACACACACACACACACACACACACACACACACACACACACACGTACACATACACTCACAGATAGAGAGAGAGAGAGAGAAAGAGAGAGAGAGAAAATAACTTCTGGCGCTGATCCACAGAAATCCGAACTAATCAGTACTAAACAACCTCCGATGCCGGAACAAAAGCATTGAATTAATAATTAAAACCACGATGCCCAACAATTCGACGGTTCAGTTCATCAAAAACCAAGAAACCCGTATGCTACATTTTTCTAAAATGGATTCTTCTCCCCTTTTCCGTTGCCGCACATCTTTCTTCGTCACAATTTCATCTTTTCGATCTGAGGGTGGGACTGTTCATAAGTTTAAAAAAAAAATTATAGTTCGATCCTCACATCGAAAAAAATATGCGACAGAGAAAGATCTGCAGCCATGGGAAAGCAAAAGATTCAATAAAAAAAAAAAAAGTGGTATATGGGTTTTTTGAAGTAAACCTGTCCCCGTGGTTTTATGCACCCCACATAATTTAGGAAAATTTGATCATTTTTTGCATAATTTCTGATTATTTTCCTTTATCATTCTTTG